TACAAAAATTATTTCCTTTTTTAAATAAGAAAGCTAACATAAAAGAGTTTTTCGTATATTTATATCAATTCTAATAAATTACCTGCCGTCTCTAGTCTTGGCATCTGCACTTCGAGCAGCCCTTCCTCCGTCCAGTTTTCTAGCATATTTTGTTAGGTTCGACGTTATTAGAATAAGCAATAAACTGTTTTTGTTGTCAGAGCTGAGTAAGAGTACGTACTACTTTGGTCTAATTTCAATTTTTTTATGCAAATCTCATGTATTATTAAATAAATAAATATATTTAATATTATAAATTAAAAATTAATTATCTAAATAATATATTAAATTATATAAAAAATAAAATAAAATAATTATACAAAAATTATTTTTCATTTTTAAATAAGACGGCTAACGTAAAACAGTTTTTCGTATATTTATATCAATTCTAATAAATTACCTGCCGTCTCTGGTCTCGGCATCTGTACTTCGAGCAGCCCTTCCTTCGTCCAGTTTTCTAGCAAATTTTGTTAGGTTCGATGTTATTAGAATAAGCAATAAACTGTTTTTGTTGTCAGAGCTGAGTAAGAGTGCATACTACTCCGGTCTAATTTCAGTTTTCACATCTTACGTGTCATATTGAAAAGGATTTACCCCTTTTAATTTCATTTCCACCTTTTCTTTTTATATATATAAAAAAATTTCATTAAAGCATTTATAATAACAAAAAATAATTTTACAAGACGAATTATATATAACTTATTTTGTAAAATTATTTAAATAATTTTACAAAACGAATTGTGTTCGTATATAATTCGTTTTGTAAAACAGTTTTCTTTTATAATAAATATAAAATTAAAACAAAACAATTAATTAATACATTTACAAAAATAAAAAGTGTAATAATAAAAAAGAGATATTCGTTTGTAGTGAGTGTGATAATTAAAATTAAAATTAGACAATTAAAATTTGACAAAATACTATTCTCAATTACTTTTTATGTTCGAACCTTAGTGTAGCTTATATAATTATTATATGAATTTTTCATTCACGCTATCAAAATCCGAGTCTTTTTACTCTTATTTTCCTTTCCCCTTACGCCCCACCCCCTCCCCCGAATTCCCCTTGTAAAAAAAAAAAAAAAATTACCTTTTATGTTGGAGGACCTTTTCCCATTTCCCGCGAGCGGAGTCATCACTCTCTTTTTCTTGATCCTTCTTACCATTTTCAAGCTCGGGTTTGAGCTTGCAATTAGAATCTAAACTTAAACTATCAATAAACAGTCGTATCGAGACAGCTGACTTTTTCTTTTCGTTTACTTCCTCCGTCCAATTGAAAAGGCCATATCTCCCAATTAAGCTTTGTCTGACTGACCGAGGAGGTCGACCATGGAGAGTCTCAGTTACAAACTTTAAAAAATTGACTTCCAGAATTCTTTTAAAGAAAATTTTACTTTGGAAAGAAATAGCAAATGACCAAAGTAAAAGGTCTTTCGCCAGCCATATACCAGCCCCAATAGAAAGGGAGGCAAGAGACCTGGTAACATAATTAAGGATCATCTTGGTTTCCCCCGATCTCGTACCTTCCCGATTCCCAAACCATATAACCAACACAAGCCAGGCTATAAGAACCAAGCCCCACCAAACGAAAACTCGATTTTTCTGCTTCAATCTATAAGCAAAGCAGTAAACGTTTAAATTGTCCCCATACAACGAGCTAGTCAACAGAAAAAGAGTATTCACAATCCCCTGAGAAATCAATTTACCACACACAACAACCATCAACAAAATACACCATTTCCACAATTCCAATTCCCAAATCAAATGGTTTTTCAGATTCTGCTCGGTTATACTAGCAATCAAAAACCCGGTTAAGCAAACCAATGCAATCCACCCCAATACCACCCAAATTGCACGAACGATTACGTAAACGAGTTTAATCAGGTAATACACAGGCAGAAGGAGCACAAACAAGATAACCAATAAAATCCGTAAACATCCACATATCATACTTATTATGGCAGTAGCACAATAGCCCATGTCCTCTTCGGTTTCACCTTTTGCTTTTGAATTCTCATTAGGAATTGTGTTCTCCTTATTTACTGGTGTTGGAGGAGGTTCAGTTGGTGTTGAAGCACTCTCTTTTGTAATCTCAGCATTCATTGAAGAAGAGCCAACCTCTGTGTTTCCTGTTTCTAGGTCGTCAAGTTGTTCTCTTCCGTTCTTCTCTGCCATATTATTTTCAGTTTCCAGAGGGAAAACAAAGGGGGTACAAGCTTTAAGTTTCTTCTGGATGGTTTAACTGGTAAACAGATCAAGCAAAACCTAAAAAGAATGATTGGATTTTGCAGGATTTATAGGGAAGAAAGAGGAACAGCAACAAGATTAAAGTAATTGGGCTAAAACCAATATTTAGCCCCTCACCTTACAAAATTGGTAGATTTTAGGCCTTAACCTTATAATATGACACTTTTAACCCTTTACCTTACAAAGTTGGTAGATTTTAACCCCTCACCTTATATTATGACACTTTTAACCCCTTATCTGTACAAATTAAAGAAAATAGCCCTTATTTAATATTAGGTTTTAATGTTCTATTATTTTTGTTAATTGACTATCAGTTCTATTAGCCGACTATCAATTCTGTTAGTTGACTGTTAACATCCGTTAGCATTCCGTTAATGAAACTAACAAATAAAATTGAATTTAAATTTCATATTTTTTATAACGAAATGCTAACATATGTTAATAGTCAACTAATAGAACGTTATAACTTGATGTTAGGTGAGGGTTATTTTCTTTAATTCGTATTGGTGATGAGCTAAAAATATCATAATATAAGATAAATGATTAAAACCTTCTAACTTTGTAAGGTGATGAACTAAAACTTACCAACTTGGTAAGATAAAAGACTAAAACTATCATGTTATAAGGTGATGGGCTAAAACTTACCAATTTTGTAAGATGAGGAGTTAAATATTGGTTTTTGTCAAGTAATTGGGGGGTGGGGATTGATTTGGAAAGTGAGATTATCTATAAATATTAAAAAAAAATTTTGTAATTTGAGAAGAAAAAGGTAATGATACAGTCATGTAGCCACAATGTTGAGTAAATGTGCAAATAAGGATTCCAAATTTGCACTTTTTTCTATTTAACGATGTTAATTTTATCATTTTCTAAATAAAGATGTCAATTTTCAATTTTTTTCTATTTAAGAATGTTAACTTTCAATTTTTTTCTATTTAAGGATGTCAACTTTCAATTTTTTTCTATTTAAAGATGTCAACTTTCAACTTTTTCTATTTAAGGATGTTAATCTTCAACTTTTTCTATTTAAGGATCAATTGGTGGTGATGCTGACATCAGCTAACATATTTTTTTAGGTTAAATACCTAAATTGGTCCCCCAACTTTTATTTTTTAACCAATTCATCCTTGAACTTCAGAAAGTATCGAAAACGTCATTCAACTTCAATTTTTCAATTAAAAAAATTATTTCTTAATTCATAGAAGAATTAATTAACTTTTATTTAATTTTATTAAATGGTAGGTGGGACTAATTAAATGGGAAAATGTATTAATTGTTTTAATTTTTAAATATAAATAAAGTAAAATTAGGAATTAAAATAGTTTTTAAATTATTTAAAATTTAAAAAATCCACATAATCATCTTTTACATGATGGATTTTCCACCTAATATTGAAAATGTAAAATAGTCAATCACTTAGCGAAAAAATTAGCTACATCAACATTTAATTGACGGAAAAACGAAATTGAAAATTGAAGTTGAAGGATGTTTTTGGTACTTTTTGAAGTTTAAGGATGAATTGGTTAAAAAATAAAAGTTGAGGGACCAATTCAAATATTTAACCTAAAAAAATGTTAGCTAACGTCAGCATCACTACCGATTAATCCTTAAATAGAAAAAGTTAAAAATTGATATCCTTAAATAGAAAAAAAGTAAAAGTTAATATCCTTAAATAGAAAAAAATGCAAAGTTGACATCCTTAAATAAAATTAGTTTTGATATTTTACTATTCTTGGATATTTGGTTTAAAAGTTTTAAATTTTGATTATAAATGCTTCTAATCAATTTTAGTGATATTCATGTTAAATTTTATTCACTTTTAATAGGATTTAAAAGATGAGACTAAATTATTAGTTTATTAAGAAAAAAAATAATTTTAATTCTTAAAAATTATTTACGCTATGCTAGAAACTTGAAGTCATCTTTTATTATTCTTGGTGCCTAAGTGATGTAACCAAAAAGAATTTTTAGATCTTTTCAATTTTTACAAATATAAAGGAATATAAGAACTCATTTATAATTTGCACTTTTTATTATGTTTTTGCTTATTTGCATGCTAGTGTGTTTTATGGTTATGCTTTCTATTTGATGTTAAAATATTTTTACATTATCTTATATATTTAATAATATTAAAAATTGATTAATCCAACTGAACCACACCGATTTAATTTAAGTTAGATTGATTTGGTTATTATATAATAGTGGATCGGATTGGTTTAAAATTTTTAATAACCAATTAAATTGAATTGATTTAAAAAATATTAAAATCTAAACCAAACCACACTGCGAATAACCCTAATCGAGAACAAAAACTTAAACATCCTTATCACCTTTTTAGTGTTCCATTTTAAGTAAAACATTGTTTTCAGTATAAATTATTAGGATGTGGTTATTGCCACCAAAGCTTTAAGAAATTTTTAGAATGCAGTAAATATATATTTTTTATTTATAAATTTATGTTATTTATTTATTTATTAATTATTTAATTAAATTTATTTATTTAATATCAACATTAAAATCAATATATTAGTGTTTTTATATGTATTTATAATAAAAATATATTCTTAACTTATGCTTTTAAAACTCAAGTTAAAAAAATTTTAATTTTAATATATTTTCAAAATTACTAATCAACTCTGTTTGGTTTGGGATATTTGACTATTAAAAATTATTTATAATTGATAAAATAATTGATATTTATTATTTAATAAATTAAAATCACTTTATAACTAATGTTTATAGATAGAAAAAATAAAAAATTATATCTTGATATTAAATAATAGCCCAATGATACATTTAATAAATTTAGGGTTTTACATTATATCACACACATTTAATAATTGTAATTAGACATTTTAATATTTTTAATATCAAAATATTATAATTTTTTTATAAATATTATAACTAACTATTTTAAAAAATACCAAATAATAAAATATCAATCAAAACTAAACACACGTACGTGACCATAATATATTCATGTATGGCCATAACCACACGCAAATTATCATTTGGTGTGTTTTGTGTGGCTGTGAGGAGGTGAATCATTTAATTTGTTTATAAAATGTAGATATACATACGGCTTGTGGCTGGAATGCTACGAGTGGTGGGGTATGAGTTTTACATGTCCAAGTGTATTTAGTGAAATTTTTATGAACTTTATCAATGGGGTAGAAATCTATGGCAGGCCAAGCCTATTATTTTTCTTTTCATCACTTTGCTGGTCGATTTGGATACCTAGGAATGAAATTGTTTTAGGAGCTGCTCTTGGGACGCAGGCAGAGGGTTAATTTTTGAGTTGATGCAGACGAAGGTCCTTTGCTTGGATTAACGTGAAGAAGTCACTGGCAGTCTTTGATTTTGGGAGTTGGTGCCAATTCCCTGTGCTATGTGCTGAGGATACGTTTAAATTAAGATTGAGAGTTTAGAACTTAGTGAGGCAAGCCTGGTTTGTTATGAAAATTAATCGTGTATATGTAGGAGTATCGCTTGAATTCCGTTTTAATAAAATTTGTTTTGCTATTAAAAATTTTTTTGTACATTCTCCTCTACATTAATTAATGGTTTACTTACAAAAAATTTCTTCTGTGCCAATTATTTTTTAATATATATTGTAATTATATTTTTAAAATAAAAATAAAATAAAAATAAATACATTAA